TCGTATTTTTTAATTTTCGTAAAATTTTGGCCAAATTGGGCAAATTTCTACCATGTTTTTGGGGTATTTGAAATGGTAAAGGGGCAGTTTTTGTCTCATCAAATAAAAAAAAAAGAGTTCTGAAAAAAATTTTTTATGGTTTGGTTGACTGGAAAAAAAGGAATTAGCCGAAAATGGGGCTCAAAGGGGGGCAAAATTGCCGATTTTTAAATATCCCCGAAGCGCTAACTTCGCGAGAGCGAAATTTTCCCGTCTTTTTCCCCACCAAATTTCTTTTTTTTTTTGGGGGTCTTTACAAATCGGGAAAGATTCCCCTTCATTTCATAAAAAAAAAAATTTTTTTTTTTTTTTTCCCGGAATATTTTGCGACACCGGAGAAACTTCAGGTTTTGGGCCCCTTCACAGTCAAAGGGAAAAAGGGAAAGGGTTTTTGGGACTTTTTGGGGGTTTGGGTGATATCTAAATTTTTTGAAACTGCGTACCCTACAAAAAACAGTGATGAAGTGTGAATGATGGGAAATTTTTTTTTTGGGGGGGGGGGGGGGGTCACCCCCCTGCCCCGGAAAGGAAATTTGGCCAGCGTGTTGAAGAAAAATAATAAAAAAAATAAAAAAAAATTTAATCGACAAGTATCCCACTAAAACATGAAAACCTTTGGGACATCAGGGGAACACTACTGTATATAGAAACCCCCTGGTTATGCAGAGCATTTCGGAAACTTATTTAACCCTTATTTTTCAGGATGCAACCCACCCTAGTAAACATCGTACACATAACTGTCTTCAAATTTTTTTGGGGTTTTAATTTAAAAACAAAGAGAGAATTACCTCAAAAATACAATTTGGGAAAAGGCATTAAAAATTTTTAAAACGAGGGTACGATTTCGGGCTTTAGGTAAACTGGAAAAAAAACATTCTAAAACTGTATCATTCATGGAAGAGACTAAGAGAATTTTTATAAGAATTTCATTGAGGCCGGGTCTGGGACGGGGCAGTTAAGCATGACCCTCAGAACACACACTGTGTCAGGTCACCCCACCAAGGTAGGGTGGCTGACAGTGAAGAAAACTCTAAACTGTCACCCATTAAAATCACGTCTTGCAAGAAGAAAGGCGACATCACAGTTCAGATGACCATCCAATCTCAGCATCTCCACCACCCCTCCTTCAGAACAACACTGTGTTTCCCCACCTCCAGGACTTAAGTCCAGTTAACCAGCTTTCCTGAATCCCTTCATAAATCATATATATGTAATGTGAGTGCAGTATCGTGGTTTTTTGAATGCTTCACATTTACTGCACATGTGCTTTGGGTCCTGGAATATTTTGTTTTGGGATACTGAAAACCTGGTATTTATTTTTAGAGACAAACATACAAGCTAAAAAAAAGAAGTAGAGATATGAAGAAATGTTCATAATTTCATTTCAAAATTTGTCTCCCAGGCTGGGTTTATTATGCCCTCTAGTAATCAGTTCATCTTCTAAATCATGTGTAGTATTGTTAAACAGTAATATACACTCATTTATTACCTTTGTATTGCTTTTTCTACAGATCAATGAGAATTTTCATTTGGTGTAGTCTAGAATGTTATCATTTTTTATTGTCATTGAATTAATAATTTAAATTTTTTTTCCAGGCCAAATATAAACCCCAGAGTAAAGATGACTTGGGACATGCGTTCTGTAAAGAGAGACAAGCGGTGATGGCTTTACAAACCCTTAATTGACCAAGGCAAGTATTGTATCTGGGACTCTTCATATTACACAGATAACCCACACATAGGAAAAAAGAAACTTATGATGATGTTTGGCCAACTTGGAAGATTAACTAGTCACACACTTAGTCACAAGTTTCTTTCTCCTATTTAATTATTTTATTAACACATCGGCCATTTCGCACCATGGCAGGGTGGCCAGAAAAAGAAAAGCTTTCATCATCATTCACTCCATCACTGTCTTGCATGTGTGGGTTATTTATTTATTGTTCCAGTTGTGGTATTGTGCTTTTTTATTCTATATAGGCCCTTCTTATTGTTTCTTTACTTCATGCAAGGAGGTGTAATGATGTAGAATCTTTTCCAACCATTGATTATCAGTTGAATTCAGCATCTAAAGCTTGGCACTCACCAGTAACATTCAAAGTTGTTATGGAAGAATTCTGCGGGTTGACTTGTGTGTCCTGTGCAGTATATTAAATGATAACTTATGACTTTTTTCTTTTTTTCTTGTTATGAAGTTGATATACAGTGTTGCAGTTTAATGATAGTTTTGAACAGAATGTACTAATAAGGTCAGATATTTTGGAAAAAAAGAATGTGTTTAGAATGAATGTAAAAAAAAAAAAATGTGCATCTTAATTTTGATTTATTAAAATAACAGTACTGTATATTAGAATAACGTTAAGCAGATAAGAGGAGAGAGTGAATATTGAATGGATAATTGTCAATGGGAGGCAGCTGCTGTGTTAAAAAACATTTAAGTTATTGTATTTTTTTTTTTTCAACAAGTCAACTGTTTCCCACTGAGGCAGTGTGACCCATAAAGAAAGAAAATCCCCAAAAAGAAAATACTTTCATCATCGTTCAACACTTTCACCTCACTCATACATAATCACTGTCTTTGCAGAGGCACCCAGATACAACAGTTTAGAAGCATATACAGTGGACCCCCGACTTACGATATTAATTCATTCCAGAAGTCTGTTCGGGTGCCGTTATTGAACGAATTTGTTCCCATAAGGAATATTGTAAATTAGATTAGTCCGTTTCAGACCCCCAAAAATACACGTACAAAAGCACTTACAAAAATACACTTACATAATTGTTAGAGTTGGGAGCTGATCGTAAGGCGGGGGTCTACTGTATAAAGATATATAACATATCCCTCCAAACTGCCAATATCCCAAACCCCTCCTTTAAAGTGCAGGCATTGTACACTACTTTTCCAGTACTCAGGTCTGGCTATATAAAAATAACCGGTTCCCCTGAATCCCATTACTAAATATTACCCTGCTCACACTCCAACAGCTTGTCAGGTCCCAAAAACCATTCGTCTCCATTTACTTGCATCTAACATGCTCATGCATGCTTACTGGAAGTCCAAGCCCCTCGCCCACAAAGCCTCCTTTACCCCCTCCCTCCAACCTTTTCGAGGACGACCCCTACCCCGCTTTCCTTCCCCTACAGATTTATGTGCTCTCCATGCCATTCTACTTTGATCCATTCTCTCTGAATGACGAAACCACCTCATCAGCCCCTCTTCAGCCCTCTGACTAATACTTTTATTAACTCCACACCTTCTCCTAATTTCCACACTCCAAATTCTCTGCATAATATTTCCACCACACGTTGCCCTTAGACAGGACATCTCCACTGCCTCCAACCACCTCCTCACTGCAGCATTTACAACCCAAGGTTCACACCCATATTAGAGTGTTGGTACTGCTATACTTTCATACATTCCCTTCTTTGCCTCTATAGGTAATGTTTTTTGTCTCCACATATACCTCAATGCACCACTCACCTTTTTTCCTTCAATTCTGTGGTTAACCTCATCCTTCACAGACCCATCTGCTGACACGTCAACTCCCAAATATCTGAAAACATTCACTTCTTCCATACTCCCTCTCTCTATTGTGATAATTGATTTTTGTTTATTTAAATAGTTTAATACCCTCATCACCTTACTCTTATCTATGTTCACTTTCAACTTTCTAACTTTACACACCCTCCCAAACTTGTCCACTAACCTTTGCAACTTTTCTTTAGAATCTCCCGTAAGCACAGTATCATCAGCAAAAAGTAACTGTGTCAACTCCCATTTTGTACGTGATTCCCCATAATTTAATCATGAGTTATTCATTAATGTTATTAATGCATAAAAAGTTAAAAAGATGAGAATGTTAAAAGGAGCATATCTGCATGCCTCTGGTAAGCCAGTGATTGCGTGAATAATGATGAAAGTTTTCCTTTTTTGGGTCACCCTACCTTGATGGTAGATGGCCAGTGTGTTAAAAAAAAGTTTGAATAAGAAAAGAGGGCTTGCTTGATTGGTTGAATTTAGGTGAATGTTGGGGTTAAATGAAGGTTTATGTCACTGGCTATAAATATTTATATCACCTTGGTAATTACTATGTAGATTTCTCTGATAGCATTTTCTGCATTTTTATATTGTTTCTAACAATGAATTGCATTTATACATTCCAAGACTAGTGTTGGAATTTATTGATATTGTACTGTTAAAATACTATCAGGGAATTATATCCAATCAGTGATTGTTTTTTCGTTAATCCAGTTGGAATAATAATTTACGTAGTTGAAAAATGCACTGGAAAATTGGTCTGTTTTATGCTTTTTTGTACCTTTTAGCTTTTAAATTTAATTCTGTGCCTGTCTATCCACATATAATTCTGAAAATTCTTAACAAGGAATCTCATAGGCACAGCTGGCCAACAGCTAGTAAGTCTCCAGTATTGAATGAATTGTGACAAGTAAGTTTTAATTAACCCATTGAGGGTCGGCCAAATTTAAAAAAAAAAAAAATTATTTTCTCTTATGAAAAGATAGAGAATCTTTTCCCGATCATAAGGACACCAAAAGTTTGAAATTTGATGGAAAACTTACGGAATTATGCTCTCGCAAAGTTAGCGATCTCGGCGATGTTTACGCATCGGCCCACTTTGAGCCCCATTTTCGGCCAATTCCACTGTACTAGTCGACAAAAAACATGAATATTTCGCTAGAACTCCATTTTTTCTATCGAATGGGTGCAAGAAACCACCCATTTATGAAATTCAACTATCCAGTACAGTGGTCAGAATTTAGCAATTTTGCCAAATTCACACAAATTTCAAAAGATGCCAATTTTCCGAATAGGGTCCAGAATAAACAAGAAAGACATTCCTGGCACTAAAATGACATTTCCTCTGGTCATTAGTCATGTCTCAAGGCCCCTCTTATATTCTTTTGCTTTCCACTTTGAATTTTTATTCTCACAAAAAAATATAAGATTTACTGTTATGCAGACTACTGCATTAGTGTAAAAAATGGTATATATATTATTGGTGCACTTGTGAAAGAATATTAGGAACTCACCAGTTGACGTGTATTGCACGCTTGGCACGATTTGTTTACTTTTGAAATTTGGTAAAAATCGAACATTTCTGCTACTTTGAGCTCAATTTCAAGGTACCTTTCATTGTAAAACCAGTCAAAATCATCTCAATTTCTGTAATATGTCTTCCATTCTATAAAATGAGACCAAGAAAACTAGAATACAACAATAAGTACCATACGAAAATACAATGCAAAGTCGCTGTTTTATTCCAAAAAAATGGTCAAAGTTTTTTTTTTCTCATGCACTGTGTGCTGCAGGATTTTTTTTAGACTGTGCACACTGACCACATAGACCCATTCTTTCATATGAAGGCCTACCAGCTTTCTCCCACTAGATTTGAGGGCGCTAGAATTTAGGCGTACTAGTACGTCAAAAACCCTGGGTCGTAAGCCGTACTAGTACGTCCGAAACCCTCAAAGGGTTAAAAGTGGAATATATGGAAAACTTTGCAAGTTTTTATCTTTGTAGTATTATGAGTAGCAGTAAAAAAATTTTTTGGAGCTCTTTTTATTCAGAATTCTTGTAAATTTGGACTTTAAAATTATTAATTGGTCTCTGAAAATGAGAGTTTTACATATAATGGACAAAGTCCTTTGGTTGCAGAATTGTCTTATTGATACAGTACACTGACAAAATAACCTCATCTCTAACTACCACACTCACCATTACCAATCACCTACTGCTCCCTACTACTCTGTTAAATTGAGGTTGTACTGTATTTTAATGGTTGATCATGAATTTTTGTGATACCAACAGATACTGATGTGGGATGGACAGGTGGAGGATTAAATGAACCGACTGATGGGGAAGCCTCTGTTGATCATCTGGTTTTTGGCAGTAGTGTTGGACCTGGTGCTACTCCGAGCAGTGACAACAAGAAAAAGGAGCCTCATTTGTGTGCCTGTTGGTGCCCAGGATGGGCAGAAATATATGTTAGGCAACCCACTGGTTAGTTATCTTCCTTGTTGAATGTTGGTTTAAAGCTATTATTTTTAAATGGTTTTATGTTGATTAAAAATCAAATAAATTACCCAAACTAGCTTCCTTGCAGGTGGCAAAGTAGTTCCTTGCCTGCCACATTGTGTATTTGCAAATGACAAAGGTATGCAGACATCTGAGTATTTTTTGAATACCTTATGGAACTAAAAGTAAAGGGAAGAATGGCAGGTGGAGAGTGTGAGAAGCCAGATTTTCAAAGAGGGAACTTTATAGGGATGAGGGATTTCCTGGTAGGAAAGCAATCTGGAAGGCAAGTGAGTGGATGAGATGGATTACCTAGTTGAAAATGGCTCGGAAACAAAGAACTTCTTACACATCACGGTGCTCCCAGTATATACCCATGTACTTTTTGCTCAGGTAGATCTGTTTTGCCACTGTGTGGGCAAAACTTAATCAATATAAGATTGCATTTATGTCCATTTTTCCATCTTGTTTTTATTTTATACCATTTATCTCCAAGGGGAAATAGCATCTCTGGTTCAACCAGAGATGCAGAGAGGCAAACAAAGAAGCAAAAGTGCATGAAAACACTGTAGAAAGTAAAGGACAGATGAGAAGTGAAATGAATATGCAGGGGTGAGGAGAGAGAGGCTAAGTGACAATTTGAGAATGATACCAAATGTGAATCAAAGCTGCTTCACAGCCACATCAGAAAAAAGATGATACAAGAAAGTCTGCAAAGTACTGAACAAATGTTTTAAAGAGGTTTGAAAGAAAGAAGGGTACACTGGCAGAAATTGGAGACCTGACCTTACACACAACAGGAAAAAGAGGCAAGATATGGTATAAAATGTCAACAGATGTACATTAATACACATGCACAGTACCTGGCTATTTTATTAATATCCTAATACTGAATATTGACTAATTGCAGTTTTTATTTGCATTATCTCCTGTTAAATTTTTGTCTTGTTATTTTTTTTTATAATTTGCCTTGATGTTATTCAGCATCATTTCTTTTTTTAGGGAATGTGACCTGGATGATGAGACTTATGAACAATGTGACAGTAGAAACAGGAGAGGAGCTTCCTTTAAATATCTTGAGTAATCTTATTGTACCTCTAACTTCAATTGAGTCTAGCGAGCTTGCCATGTCAGTCTTCTCTCACCAGGAAGATGAGAAAAATGAGGTAAAATATTGAAATTAATGTGAGAAAAATGAGGTAAAATATTGTAATTAATGTGGGAAAATGAGGTGAAATATTGTAATGTGAGAAAAATGAGGTAAAATATTGTAATTAATGTGGGAAAAATGAGATAAAATATTTTAATTAATGTGGGAATAATGAGGTAAAGTATTGTAATAATGTGAGAAAAATGAGGTAAAATATTGCCACCACTTGACCAGACCATCTCATCACCCCTTCTGCTGTTTGAATTATACACTTCATACCACACTGTTTTTTAATTTCCCAATTTTTCATTCTCTACATTTTAAATGCAAATTATGGCTATACATTTCATCCAGTTTTTTATCATGAACATTTGAAATGCTTTTTTGCTCTATTCAACATTAATATTTTCACAGGAACTCTTAGGCCAACACTTTGAAGACTCCAGACCACGGGCATTTTCTGGTGCCTCAGACAAGACACAAGACTCGGATCTTGGCTCTCAGAGAGATTCTAGTGGTTGTAGCAGCGGTGCGCCATCTCATGCATCATCTGACCTTCGGATCAATGCTGCTGATCCAGGGGATGACACCAGAGGCAGTTCACCTCTGACTAATACAAGCACATCTGGTGAGTTATAAGAATGTCATATATTGGTGTTAGAGGAATATATTAATATACAAAGCCTTTTTTTTTTTTCACTATTTTTAATTGTACTGATTTTGCCAAATGACATGCAAGTTGTATCATTTGGCAAACTTTAAAACATTCTTCAATAATCTACAGTATAACAGAAGCGCATAATGAGGCTATGTGAAAAGTACTCATTGAACCAACAGATAATTGATCTCACTAGAAATGAAAATACCCTGGATTTGATATTCACAAACAACAAGGAACTAATCAGAGACATAACAGTCACAAAAAAATATACTCTGATCACATCATCATAGAAGTTCAAACGAGTATTAACTCGGGGTTAGGGAACTGCATCACTAATGTTAGAGATGGGATGTTCAGCAAGTTTAATTTTAACAACCATAGAATTGACTGGGAAAAAATAAACCACTAGCTATCAAACATATCCTAGGAATCAGACATGAGCACCCTAAATCCCCACCAAACCTAGAGAAGCTGAATGTAGAAGCATACAAGGTATGTATGATGCACGTACCATTGAGAAAACCCAGAAGAAGATCAGATATAGAGAGAGAGAGTGTAGGAGATAGTACAGAAGACAAAAATGGGTTACTGAATTGCTTAAAAACACAGATCTGCTGCAACAGAGGAAAGATAGTCTTAGCCGAGAGATCACCAAATTAGAGCAAAAACTTAGGATGTCGTACCTAACAGGAGTACAAAGGGAACAAAGGGCCATACAGGATATTGCAGGAAACCCAAAATATTTCTATTGCTATGCAAAATCCAAGCTAAGGCCTACCTGTAGAATTGGACCATTATTGAGAGGAGATTTGTATACTGACGATGAACAGGAAATGAATGAAATTCTAAAAGAACAGTATGAGTTGGTGTTCAGCAACCCACTAAATGACAGTAAGGTAGCAAATGCAGAAACATTTTTTGCTCCAGCAGAAGGCCACACAGACCAACTGACTGACATTAGTACAAATCTCATAGATTTAAAAAAAGAAATGGATAACATGCCCACTCATCAGCACCTGGACCAGATTCATGAAATGCCCTATTTATAAAGAAGTGCAAAGTACCACTAGCACGAGCCCTCAGTATTCTTTGGAGAAAGAGCTTAGATTTAGGTGAAGTACCTGAGGCCTTAAAGAGTACAGACATAGAACCTTTGCATAAGGGAGGTAGTAGAGCATTAGCTAAAAATTACAGACCAGTAGCCCTAACTTATTACATCATAAAAATCTTTGAAAGAGTGATGAGACAACAGATTACAAATTTCCTGGACCAGCATGATTTTAGAGCAGGACAATCATGCCTGTCACAGATGCTGAATCATTAGGACAGAATTACGGAGACATTGGAAGACGACTAAAACCCAGATGTGATATACACAGGTTTTGCAAAGGTGTTTGAGATGTGAGATCATGGAGTGATAGAGTACAAAGTGAGGGCCCGGGCATTACGGGAAAGGTAGGCAGATGGATTTTTGGGTTCCTAACACACAGAACACAAAAAGTAGTTGTAAACATAACAAGATCCAGCATCAGCAAGGTAAAAAGCTCAGTGCCCCAAGGCACTGTCCTGGCACCTCTGCTGTTTCTCATCCTCATAGCAGACATAGATAAAAACACTCGTCACACTTTTGTAACATCATTTGCAGATGACACTAAAATAAGCATCAAAGTCACTATGGTAGAAGACACTGAAAAATTGCAGGAAGACAAGCAGGGTTTTTCAGTGGGAAGTGGAGAACAACATGATGTTCACTGGTGATAAGTTCCAGCTGCTTTGGTATGGAAAGAATAAAGAACTCAAAAGGAACACTATATCCAAAATTGAAGAGAGTCACCAAATAGAATGAATGGAACAAGTAAAAGACCTGGGAATAATTATGTCAGCTGACCATTCTTTTAAAGAAAAGAACAAGGCAAAGATCATGACAGCCAGGAAGATGACGGGGTGGGTGTTGAGATCTTTCAAAACAAGGGAAATAATGCCAGTGGTGACACTCTTCAAATCTCTAGTGCTCCCTCATTTAGAATATTACTCAGTGCTGATGGCCTCATTTAAAGCAGGAGAAATATCAGAGCTGGAACAAATACAGAGATCATTTATGGCTCACATTGAGCTAGTAAAGCACCTAAATTACTGGGAACACCTTCGTCTTGAATATGTACTCATTCGAGCGGAGGAGAGAGAGATGCACGATAATATATACCTGGAAAGTACTCGAGGATCTGCTCCCAAATCTGCACACTGCCATAACAACATACTGGAGTGAGAGATATGGGAGGAAGTGCAAAATAAACCCAGTGAGGAGCAGGGGTGCAGTAGGGACAATAAGGGAACACTGTATCAACATCTCGGGTCCCAGACTATAAATCATCTTGCCAGAAGATATCAGAAACCTGGCTAGAAGAAGTGTAGAAGCCTTCAAGAGGAAACTGAACAAGTATCTTCACCAGATGCCAGATCAACCAGGCTGTGATAGATATGTTGGGCAGTGGGCCTCCAGCAGCAACAGCCTGGTTGACCAGGCAAGCACCAGACGAGTCTGGTCTATGGCTGGGATCCAAAGAGTAGTGAAACTCTCGAAACTTCAAAGGTATATCAAAGGTAGCAGTACCCCCCTCAATATATAAATTAATATTTATACACTTTATCTAATTTGTTTTTAACACTGGCTGTCTCCCACTTGGGCAGGGTGACCTGAAAAAGGAGAATTTATATAGGAGAAGGGGTTACTCGCCCCTTGCTCTGGCATTTTAGTCATCTCTTACAACACGAATGGGTTACTGAGGAAGAATGCTTCACTTCCCCATGGAGACTATCTAATTATACATTCTTCTTTTTGAGATATGTATCGTATATTACTTAGACAAATACACACACAGGTGAGACTCCTGATGACCCTCGTGTTCCTGTTCAGCGTTGCCATTCAAGTCCAGAAATGAGTGAGGGTGTAGTAGCTGGAGGAGAATCTAGTCAGCAACCTTTTCTTGACACAGTGACTAAAGTTCCTACTTCTCCAAGTATATCACCAGGACTCTCAGAAACTGCACCAGTTACATCTACAACAAGACAGGCAAAATCAAAGCCCAGGTTTGTTCCGAAGTCAAGTGTTCTTTTTTTTTACTAAGTTGTCTGTCATTTTTATTTGCAGTACCTAATTCACATTTTTATATTTATATATTTATATAAACTTTATAAAACTTTATAAAACTGGGTTGCTTAAATGTGCGTGGATGTAGTGCGGATGACAAGAAACAGATGATTGCTGATGTTATGAATGAAAAGAAGTTGGATGTCCTGGCCCTAAGCGAAACAAAGCTGAAGGGGGTAGGAGAGTTTCAGTGGGGGGAAATAAATGGGATTAAATCTGGAGTATCTGAGAGAGTTAGAGCAAAGGAAGGGGTAGCAGTAATGTTAAATGATCAGTTATGGAAGGAGAAAAGAGAATATGAATGTGTAAATTCAAGAATTATGTGGATTAAAGTAAAGGTTGGATGCGAGAAGTGGGTCATAATAAGCGTGTATGCACCTGGAGAAGAGAGGAATGCAGAGGAGAGAGAGAGATTTTGGGAGATGTTAAGTGAATGTATAGGAGCCTTTGAACCAAGTGAGAGAGTAATTGTGGTAGGGGACTTGAATGCTAAAGTAGGAGAAACCTTTAGAGAGGGTGTGGTAGTAAGTTTGGGGTGCCAGGTGTAAATGATAATGGGAGCCCTTTGATTGAACTTTGTATAGAAAGGGGTTTAGTTATAGGTAATACATATTTTAAGAAAAAGAGGATAAATAAGTATACACGATATGATGTAGGGCGAAATGACAGTAGTTTGTTGGATTATGTATTGGTAGATAAAGACTGTTGAGTAGACTTCAGGATGTACATGTTTATAGAGGGGCCACAGATATATCAGATCACTTTCTAGTTGTAGCTACACTGAGAGTAAAAGGTAGATGGGATACAAGGAGAATAGAAGCATCGGGGAAGAGAGAGGTGAAGGTTTATAAACTAAAAGAGGAGGCAGTTAGGGTAAGATATAAACAGCTATTGGAGGATAGATGGGCTAATGAGAGCATAGGCAATGGGTCGAAGAGGTATGGGGTAGGTTTAAAAATGTAGTGTTAGAGTGTTCAGCAGAAGTTTGTGGTTACAGGAAAGTGGTGCAGGAGGGAAGAGGAGCGATTGGTGGAATGATGATGTAAAGAGAGTAGTAAGGGAGAAAAAAATTAGCATATGAGAAGTTTTTACAAAGTAGAAGTGATGCAAGGAGGGAAGAGTATATGGAGAAAAAGAGAGAGGTTAAGAGAGTGGTGAAGCAATGTAAAAAGAGAGCAAATGAGAGAGTGGGTGAGATGTTATCAACAAATTTTGTTGAAAATAAGAAAAAGTTTTGGAGTGAGATTAACAAGTTAAGAAAGCCTAGAGAACAAATGGATTTGTCAGTTAAAAATAGGAGAGGAGAGTTATTAAATGGAGAGTTAGAGGTATTGGGAAGATGGAAGGAATATTGTTGAGGAATTGTTAAATGTTGATGAAGATAGGGAAGCTGTGATTTCGTGTATAGGGCAAGGAGGAATAACATCTTGTAGGAGTGAGGAAGAGCCAGTTGTGAGTGTGGGGGAAGTTCGTGAGGCAGTAGGTAAAATGAAAGGGGGTAAGGCAGCCGGGATTGATGGGATAAAGATAGAAATGTTAAAAGCAGGTGGGGATATAGTTTTGGAGTGGTTGGTGCAATTGTTTAATAAATGTATGGAAGAGGGTAAGGTACCTAGGGATTGGCAGAGAGCATGCATAGTTCCTTTGTATAAAGGCAAAGGGGATAAAAGAGAGTGCAAAAATTATAGGGGGATAAGTCTGTTGAGTGTACCTGGTAAAGTGTATGGTAGAGTTATAATTGAAAGAATTAAGAGTAAGACGGAGAATAGGATAGCAGATGAACAAGGAGGCTTTAGGAAAGGTAGGGGGTGTGTGGACCAGGTGTTTACAGTGAAACATATAAGTGAACAGTATTTAGATAAGGCTAAAGAGGTCTTTGTGGCATTTATGGATTTGGAAAAGGCGTATGACAGGGTGGATAGGGGGCAATGTGGCAGATGTTGCAAGTGTATGGTGTAGGAGGTAGGTTACTGAAAGCAGTGAAGAGTTTTTACGAGGATAGTGAGGCTCAAGTTAGAGTATGTAGGAAAGAGGGAAATTTTTTTCCCAGTAAAAGTAGGCCTTAGACAAGGATGTGTGATGTCACCGTGGTTGTTTAATATATTTATAGATGGGGTTGTAAGAGAAGTAAATGCGAGGGTCTTGGCAAGAGGCGTGGAGTTAAAAGATAAAGATCACACACAAAGTGGGAGTTGTCACAGCTGCTCTTTGCTGATGACACTGTGCTCTTGGGAGATTCTGAAGAGAAGTTGCAGAGATTGGTGGATGAATTTGGTAGGGTGTGCAAAAGAAGAAAATTAAAGGTGAATACAGGAAAGAGTAAGGTTATGAGGATAACAAAAAGATTAGGTGATGAAAGATTGAATATCAGATTGGAGGGAGAGAGTATGGAGGAGGTGAACGTATTCAGATATTTGGGAGTGGACGTGTCAGCGGATGGGTCTATGAAAGATGAGGTGAATCATAGAATTGATGAGGGAAAAAGAGTGAGTGGTGCACTTAGGAGTCTGTGGAGACAAAGAACTTTGTCCTTGGAGGCAAAGAGGGGAATGTATGAGAGTATAGTTTTACCAACGCTCTTATATGGGTGTGAAGCGTGGGTGATGAATGTTGCAGCGAGGAGAAGGCTGGAGGCAGTGGAGATGTCATGTCTGAGGGCAATGTGTGGTGTGAATATAATGCAGAGAATTCGTAGTTTGGAAGTTAGGAGGAGGTGCGGGATTACCAAAACTGTTGTCCAGAGGGCTGAGGAAGGGTTGTTGAGGTGGTTCGGACATGTAGAGAGAATGGAGCGAAACAGAATGACTTCAAGAGTGTATCAGTCTGTAGTGGAAGGAAGGCGGGGTAGGGGTCGGCCTAGGAAGGGTTGGAGGGAGGGGGTAAAGGAGGTTTTGTGTGCGAGGGGCTTGGACTTCAGCAGGCATGCTTGAGCGTGTTTGATAGGAGTGAATGGAGACAAATGGTTTTTAATACTTGACGTGCTGTTGGAGTGTGAGCAAAGTAACATTTATGAAGGGATTCAGGGAAACCGGCAGGCCGGGGCTTGAGTCCTGGAGATGGGAAGTACAGTGCCTGCACTCTGAAGGAGGGGTGTTAATGTTGCAGTTTAAAAACTGTAGTGTAAAGCACCCTTCTGGCAAGACAGTGATGGAGTGAATGATGGTGAAAGTTTTTCTTTTTCGGGCCACCCTGCCTTGGTGGGAATCGGCCGGTGTGATAATAAAAAAAAAAAAAAAAAATATTTATATTTTTATATAGCCGGACTTGAGTCCTGGAAATGGGAAGTACAGTGCCTGCACTCTAAAGGAGGGGTTTTGGGATATTAGCAGTTTGGAGGGGTATGTTGTGTATCTTTATACGTATATGCTTCTAAACTGTTATGTTCTGAGCACCTCTGCAAAAACAGTGATTATGTGTGAGTGAGGTGAAAGTGTTGAATGATGATGAAAGTATTTTCTTTTTGGGGATTTTCTTTCTTTTTGGGTCACCCTGCCTCGGTGGGAGACGGCCGACTTGTTGAAAAAAAAAAAAATTCACATCATTGTAGCTTCTTCTTTCAACAAACCAGCCGCATCCCATCGAAATTATTGTAACTATGATAATATATTTCAAGGCTGAATTGAAAATGTTTATTGATTCCATTCAGTTGCACCCCTCACAGAACAGTATTATATCCATTAATTTTTTCTTTCATGACGCTAATTTTTCTTTCTTGGGTCAAGAATATTTTTCTTATACGTATATTCTTATTCGTCACGTACTGATCTTTAAATCCATCACAGTATGGCAGATCTTAAAACCAATTTCAACTGAAAAATTATATTTTTTCTCATCTGTTTCACCTATTTTAATAATTAATCTTTCTTTACTATAAATGTTTTGTACACATGTAGTTACCTTTTAAAAATTTTTATTTTTACTTGTCAAGGTGATCCAAATAAGAAAACATTCACCATCGTTCATTCAATAGCTGTATTTTCAGAAGTGCACAGACATTACAGTTCATATGATCCTTGAAAGATTTATTTTGCAAAGTAAAAAATTTTAAATTTTTTTG